TATTATTTCACACTGATCTGAAGAGTTGATTTCAGTCAGTCAATTCATATTTCTTGTTGTTGCAATAATTGTACACTGCTTAGGTAACAAGTCTTGAGACATCTAGTAACATTTGAAGCACATTACTTGTCATTGCAGAATTTATTTGTAATTAAAAGCATATTCATCCCTATCAAACTTAGTATTTTACTAAGCCTAACGTACCCACCCATTCGTCCCGCTGAACTACCAGTGTATCAAACTGGGCACTAAAATCACTTTTTCTGTTGTCAATACAATTAACACGTTGACTGCCATGTCGGTCTATTAGACCGAGAAAGAAATATCCTGACGTGCCGCCTCGGTCTCATAGACCAAGATTGGAGTTGATACACCAGGCCGGCTCGGCCTATAGGACCGAGTCAATTGAACCGCCCGTGAAGCCGTCGGTCTGAATTATTGTTAATAATATCGCGGAGAGCGACCAAGACGGCTTCAGTGACAAGTTTATATTGTATATCGTCCTCATCAGACACAGCACTAGACCGAGGCCGAACCCGGACGGACCGAGCTGGCGGACCGACGCGGCGTACACGGGTATACATGTATAAACGAGCGCCGACTCGGTCTATAAGACCGAGCCAAATTTCTTCAATTTTTTGGATCCAGTGTCCCAATTTTCAAGAATTTCAACGATATACTATCTTCTGTAGGCTTCAGCTACATAGAGTCACTCATGGTTTCTGGGACAAAATTTTTGATTTTGCTTCGGCTCTGATACCAATAGTGTGTATATGAGCCCGGCAGTCAACGTGTTAAGATTTAAAACACCTAGTAAATCTTAGGTAATCCATCAACCAAACTCAGGGGTGAATAAAATTCCATTTAATTTTTTTTCACTACTCACCCCCTGAGATTTAAAGGCATAACACTTTCGACATTTTTTATTGGTGCCACTCCAGAAAATGTATTTGCCAATGTAACAGGACTGTTGTCCATCCATCGCACAAAGATAGCTCCTGAATTTTTCTCCAACGCAGAGGAAAAATCACCTCTATTCCGTCTTTTTTTGATACAAGAGGACATTCTTCAGGTATTCTATTATTTCGTACAGTACCAGTAGCACCGTAACCATTGGCTTTCAGGAAAAACATGTTTTGAAGGTTCTAGATCTCCTAACTGACAAAAAGGTTTTCTGACTTTCATCAAGGTATAATCGACTTCTTCATCATGAGTTTAATCGTGTTCATGCATTCGCCCTTGATTTGATTCAATTTCTCTAGCAATCTCCATTGTCTGTTATTGGTATGTTCTATTCCTGTAGGTTCATCTGAACCACCTATTCTAGAATTATCATTCAACACAATTTCTGCAGGAGTACAAAGTTTGTCAGCACCTTTTGCATTTTACTAAAGACTTACCAAAAATAAATACCAAGCTCTGCAGAATGGTGTTGTCAAGGAACGGCAGCCAATGTGTCTGGAGAGCTGGGACGTGAGTTGGTCAGATGTTTGCGATTAAACAGTTTTTCTTTATTTTGAAAGGGATGCCACTTGAATTTGTTGAAATGAAAAATAAGAAAACCAAAAGTTTGGTCAAAATAAGTCTATTGAACTTCAAAAATCATTGCTCACAAGGCATTAAAATTTTGACTGAAGAACAAACAGTAAAAGTACTCAGCAGTGAACTTTGCCGGTATTATGTGACCTAGTAATGAAATTTAGTTATCCTAGTGGAGGTACCTACTTCATGCAGCTGCAAGGGTTTACATGTCAAGCCCACTTTCTATCACTTCTAAAGATCAAGACAATGACTCTAGATTGTACCTTATATATGATACTTAGATCTGATTGCTTTTAGTTACAGAACCCTGTATTATAATTAACCGAAACTATATAAAGAGAAAATTTTTGGAATTTCCTAGTGATGTGCACACGACTTAGTTAACTATTATAAATTCATAGGTGAACCAAAAACAAAATTTTATAAATCCAAAAAAACTGGAACAAGCTCATCAGCATACTGGAACCCATATGGTGCATACATGGCCCTCAGCCCCCAGTGCAGTAAAACTCCACCACAGCATTGATTGGTGTCCATGCTGCAGAACCCCATCTAGTAGGCAGTGAGGATCACCAGCCACCAGTGCTGGAGGTCCGTGACAGGGATGATGAGCCTGAGTCGTCAGGCTGTAGGACAGGCCTTGATGGATGATACCATCACCAAAATGACTGGGAGTACCATGATGTGTGAGCCGGGAGCCAGGATTGCACCAAGTAAATGTACCGATGATGGTATCCAGGATCGTGCAAACGAACGGTGGATCAATTTGGGGCCACGCGGTATCTCGTGGAACTCGAGGTACTCATGGGAGCCGACAAATCTACATGAATAAATGCAAATGTTCTACCCACTGCCTTATGAAAAATGACTTTACAGACTCACCTTCCACTGGGGAGCGGCCTCACGAACACAAAAATGCCTCCCTTACCACCATTGTGGCGTCTATCGTTCTAGTAGGAGAAGACGGATGACCCTTCCACCAACTCCAAAAGAGCCGGAAACAGACACCAAAACTATTCAAAAAAACAACATCCACGGCCTACTCTGCATATTGCGCACCCACGCTACTAGGAATGCTAAAGCACGTGATGAACAGACCGATCACGGTTTGACACTTGTGTTGAATCTTGGCCAGTTGAATAAAAGCTTCTACTCAAGTGACACTTAATGTCAATTGACAATCCATGATACCTGACCAGGACTTTCATTGAAAATTCAAATCGACCTGACTTCCGGAGTGTCGGGTACCAATTCGAAGAGGTATGTCCCGAACGGAACGGTACTTGAAATGGGAAGAGGACCTAATGTGACTTATGTCATTGACATAAGACAATTCGACTTTGGAATAATTGGAATTTATCATAGTGACAGACGATAAAATAAAAATAAACAGCCACTAATTTAAAAATAGCTTCCCAAAGAATTGAATCAGGGAAATTAAGGAAAGTAATGGGGCCTGCACGACTCTGCTGGTGAGTACCAAACTTCGGTGAACCCAAATAGTTAATTCATGATTCCAACTAATAACATGTTTTGCTTTCAGACTACTCTGGACTTTAGCTTGCCCCCTGGAATTGATTCACCTGCACCAGGAATACATGGACTGCACTGAGGTGAGTTATACCCAAAACTGTATATTATCAATTTATTCCTCCAGCAAGGAGTATTTCCTTCTGGGCTGAAGATATCCAATGTCATTCCCCTTCACAAAAAAGGTGATTCAAATACTGTGGATAATTATAGGGCTATTACTTTATGCTCAAGCATAGGCAAAATTTTTGAAGCTGTCGTCAACAAAAATATCATTAACTTTTTAACATTCAATGGTAATTTGTCTCTATGCCAACATGGTTTCACGAAGAATAGAAACACTGACACTGCACTTTGTGAATTTTTAAATAATATATATAAAGCTCCCGATGATAAACAAGTGGCACTGGGGTTATTTATAGATTTTTCCAAGGCATTTGACTGTGTTCGGCATGATATTCTTCTGTATAAATTCGAGAGATATGGAATTCGTGGAGTTACTCTCCAATGGTTCGCATCATATCTGACTGATAGACAACAGCAGGTTAAATGTAATAACTATATTTCTGATTTAAAATTTGTGAATATAGGTGTGCCTCAAGGATCCATTCTTGGTCCAACACTCTTTATTATATATATCAACGATTCAATTGAATCAATGAGATCACACTCTACTCAAGTAGTAGCTTATGCTGATGATACACACTTTCTGTTCATTTCAGACACTGTTTATAATGCTAAAAAAACAGGCCGAACTAGTTTACATGAATGTTTGCAAGTGGGTTGATGTGAACAAGCTTTGTCTGAATAATGATAAATCGACCTGTGTTATTTTCAAATCTTCTGGTTCAGAATATCCTATAACCACATAACTCTAAATAATACAGAAATCAACTGCGCTCTAAATACCAAATTGCTTGATGTTATTTTAGAAAGTAACCTGGAGTGGTATGGACATGTAGATAGTTTGTGTTCGAAGCTAGCTAGGATATGCTATGCCCTTTTCATTTCATCACAACAATGTAGTAGAGAAATAATTGAACAATTGTATTTCGGATGCTTCCACACATTTGAAATATGGAATCATGCATTGGGCGAATTCCGCAGAAGCTCATAGGGCCTTCACCTTACAAAAAAGGGCAGTTCGTATCTTGGGAAATCTGAGAGCAAGAGATTCATGCAGGGAATATTTTTAAAAACTGGGTATCTTCACAATGATCAACATCATCTGCTCTGTATCAGAAAAGTTTATATTACAATGGATGTAAATTATACAATTGCCTGCCAAAATCTATACAAGAATCAAAAAATAGATTCCAATTCAAGAATAAAATGAAAAACTTGCTCCTGAAAAATCTTATTACACCTTGGATAAATTCTTCTGTGATCCAATCATCGCTGACTGATGAATAATGTTTTCGAGTAGACGTTGATATACTTTTTATGTTTATGTAGGTACCTGTGAAATCTTGTATATTATTATGTTTGTTTTATACATACGATATTTATTTATTTATGTACTTTAGCCTAGTTTTGACGTTTTTTTCTTAAACTGTGTGTTTTTGAAACATAAATCTATCTATCTATCTATCTATCTATACCATTTTTAGCGTTTGTTCTAATTTTCAGTCACTAAATGTTCCCAAAATATAAGCAGTGAGCCAACCAATCCAACAGGTACAAGAACATGATGAAATACCCAAAATTGTCATGTAATGTAATCCACATCTTGTAAGATTTTGTAATAAACTGTGAACTAGAAGTCTAGCTATTTACTTGGGATGGACTTGACATAAATTCGAGCACAAAAAGGGGGAGCTGTATCATTCTGATACTCAAGTTGAGATGAAGGTAAATTTTCATGTTACAAGTTGTCTTCTTATTATCAATGAAACCTCCTGTGTCCTCGTCCGCCGAGTCTTCGTCAGTCAAAATATGACCTCTGGAGGTTCTATGAAAATATCTCTGCCGTCACCCATTTCTTCTGACTCATCATATGCAATCTCCAATGCATCTCGCAACGTCAGTCCCCTAAAATATTGCACATCATATATCAATCATTATCAACAATAAATCGCCTAGCGGTACCATATGGGCTCAGCATTGTTTCCGCCTCAAAAACAAATATGACAATTTTTTTTTTCAAATGCATAATATATTATGATGAACATCGTCTTCTAGGAATGATGAAATGTACTTGAAATGCTCAGACTCTGAAGCGTATTCACATTACAATACGTACACTGATCGAAAGTCCATGTTTCCTTGAAAACTTATATCTGTTGATATTGTAACTTGTGACAAACTCATGGAACACTTCACACCAACTCGAAACAGCGCAAAATGTGTTCATGAGTCTCTAAACCAACGCCTGGCTCACGCGCATTTTCACTGAACACAACGGTATGGCCACGAGAAATCAAAAAGTGGACACCTGATTGGTGGTACCATGCGGCACCGGTAGGCGCTAATGGGTTAAAATCCATATCATTATGGCATTCATGATTTTCTTAAAATCTGGTATGTGTATATTTGATATATTATGATGAGAGGGTTATTATGAAAAATATAGAGTTACTAAAACTTTCAGATACATTAGACCCCTTAAATCCCTACCTCGATAGTATGTAACCAACGTCGATAATTGGCCATTACAGTCCCATCATGTATGTTTATGCTGAACTAACTATGGAAAACTCAATGTTTGTTGTACTGGCCTTTTGCCAGGTAACTGAATATGATTTCTGGGGAACCAGTACTGGGACCCGCGCATATGGGACAATTTACTGGGCCGCTGATGTCAGGTATGGGGAAAATATATCAGGCCCCTTATCTAAATGTTTGCTGGATTTTCTCTGAGAGACTTAACGCGAATGTGCCTTATTTTGGTCATACTGTATTTGGGTAAAGCGATATCCTGTATCTACCTGTTTGTGATTTTTTTTCAATTTTTTTATCAGCTTGTTATTCGTGGGAATTTGCCATAGTCTCATTCCGTGATAGTATAATCACCTTTTTTTATTCCTGCATACGTATTATAATGACATTACTTTTCAAAGTAGCAAAACAAATTAGAAATTCAACAAGAATCATTATTTGTTATGGTATCTTAATGAAAATTACGGAAATTCTGTCGCAACTTATTCACTTGCTCGGTATTCCTATCATAAAAACCCTTTCATGGAAAAATTATAATAGATCCATCGAGAAAGCTGTTGAAAAAACTTGGTTCGATATTAAGAACAGGAAGCTGTTCTTTACATCTTAACATCTCATGATTTATAACGGACAGTCCAGGCCCATTTTGAAATAGTATCTTACATAACTAGTGAGGATGTAGCGTTTAAATTTGCTGGCTATAGATTTTTTATTTCTTTGTTTTCATAAAATCCTAAGTAAACTTTCAAATAATGTTATCATCAAAAGAACATACTTACAGAGAGCACTAAGTTAGAAGATCAATGAACATCTCTCACAAGATGAAACATTTATTGATAGGTAAAACACTCATACACAGTTTTCTAAGATCATTTCACCAGATATCACAATTCTTCATATTATGTTCAGTACACCTGTAGGAAAGTGATGAAAGCCTCGAGCTGTGCTGATCCAAGTAAACAGGTTCTGAAAATGAAGAAAGTAAATTAGAATTCTATATTTTCATATGAGTCCTATGCTTGTCTGATTTAATTATTGTTGTTGCTAATGGAAAGCTGTTGACTTACCTGTAGTGTTGTCCAGTGGTGATGAGGTGAATAATTGATTGTTTATTTTTAGGATTATTTGGGTATAATTCTTCAAATAATTTGATGATTTGTAGTTTTTCTGGTATGTTGATTTTATTGGTTGAAAACATAGGCTAGGTATTCCTTCCGCGCGTCAGTGTCAACGCTGTCACTTGCCATGGATGGCTATCATCGTAGCACAGTCGTCGAATCGACACAGAAGATGTCGAACATTCTTCTTTTATTTTCAGCTGGTTTCCTTACTCCTTTCAGAGATGTGAAGTTGACAAACTTTCCGACCAATGAGAGTAGACCATGTTAGGGTTGTTTCAATTTTGTGGATTGGCATCGTGAAAAGAGGTGGAGGGGAGATAGCGGAAACCTGCGGACGACATTTCCGGCATCTTGGTTTTTTACAAGGTGGCCATTGAAGAGCACACATGAAAAATTTTTGGTGATTTTTTTGTTCAACGAGAGTTGACCCTGTGAGGGATTTTATGTGGAATTTCACCCAAATTAAGTGGTGTGTTTTTTTTTGTTTGACCGGTTGGTCGATTTGTGACCCCCACCTCGGAAAGTGGCTCCATGTCAGATTCTCCTAGCCCTTCTTCTGAAGGTAAGTCGATATTCGAGGACGTTGATCGAGTTTCGGTAAACAATCAATTGTTCACCTCATTTCATAGTGCGGAATGGGAGGTTGTAGCATGTCTTTTCTTCCAATAGGGTTGTAGGATAGCCTGAGTGTCTCAGGGTCTGTGAGATGGGGGTGAGACGCTTCTGCCAGCCTCTTTAGCTTGCCTTTGGCGGGTTCGACCGTCCCTTCTAGAAGCCCTGATTTTTGCCATCGCCAGGACTCTCCCAGTTAGCACAGCTCGCTCTAGGCCATTGGATCCTGGCCAGAGCAGACTGCAGGAGATCCCTCTAGGTTGAAGGTCACCTTAAGAGAAAGCCGACATACTGGGCTCTTTCCCTTTGTTACGCCACCTAGGGACGCCAGGAAAGAGGAACGGAGGGGTTTAGCCCCGTGGGTTGGTAGGGGATACCTTCTCCATTCCAGGGACTTATTCATCGCGCCTGCAGTGACCTATGCTGCCCTCAATGCCACCAAGCAGCCTGTGATAGGAGTTTCACAGGATTTCTGAAGAGGACTTCACCATGTCATACTAGCCAGGTTTTTGTTAGGGATTTAATTCTTCAAATTGTAAATCGAAATTATCATCACCACTTTTTTTATTCCTTAAGCCCAGATAGCACAAATTCCTTTTGAGGCCCTTCTGAGGCGTTCACAATAATGTCCTCAGGACGTCGAGAGCGAGCTAGAAGACATTCTTAAGACATCCTCCTGTTACCATTCTCTACATACTAATAACGTCTCAGAACATCCCTATAAAATTTTTTGAGACAACCTCAGGACATCACCCAAGTAGCACACATATATTGGGACAATATCGGTGCAATATTACGAAAATATCGGCAAAATATTGTGAAAGTAATATTGGCGAGAAAAAAAATGTGAACATTCGGCGATATTGGTACAATATCAGTTTCCAAATGTGGGTAGAATATTCTCATCATAATATAGGTTGAATATTCGTAGAGTAATATCGGACACAAAATGTAATATCAATATTGGCGAGAAATTATTGGTGAACATTCGGCAATATTGGTGTAATATATGGAAATATCGGTGAATCATTGGAAATCATCATGAAGGTATGTTGTCTCAGAAATATTGGTTGAATATTCTCATACCAATATTGCTGGTATATTCGTGAAGTTATATTGGTGCAATATTGATTGGGAATATTGGTACATTATTGAAAATCATTATGTAGCTATGTTGTCTTCAAAATATTGGTGAAATATTTTCATACCGATATTTGCGAGTTATTCGCATCAGGAATAATCACAAAGGTCAGCCCAGCCGGAGTGCAATGGGAGGGCCTTGCCCTAGGAAAGCCGCCTTGTTGATCACGGTTAACCCCTACTCCAGGTTATAATACTTCACAATCGTCTAGAGCCAATATTTAAATTCTCTCGTCGGATCGGCAATGAGAGTACGTTACCAATCATTTATAGCGCCATCTATCGACATCGGTTTAGGAGTGCGTAATATGGAATAAATATCGAAATTCCGATATCGATATGTATTCTAAAAACAATATGTGAACAATATTGCTTACATGATATAGTGAATCACATATCAGCCAATATAAGATGATATTATTTTCTGAATATGGCTAGAAAACTATTCACCCGATATGCAATTGAACTTGAAAATACAATATTGTTTTTCTCTTCTATGTCCGACATAAGATACATATTGAATTGCCGTTATTGATATTCATATTTGAATCATTGAAAACCCCTTCAGAATCGACATGTGGAGAATGTTCAAATTGCTATATTGGTTATAATTGTTTGAAACAATATGTATACGATATCTTCCGCATGATATGGATAGAATGATATTAATCAAGATAGGTGAATATGATATTTCGAATATTGTTGAAACAATATTCAACCAATATGCCGTCGAACTCAAATATACAATATTGCACAACCGCTTCAGAATCAACATGGGGACAATATTCAAATCGCGATATTGGTTATAAATGTAAGAATCAAATTGTATACGATATCTTCCGCATGATATAGATAAAATGATATCAATCAAGATGGGTGAATATAATGTTTCAAATATTGTTAAAACAATATCCAACCGATATGCCGTTTAACTTGAAAATACAATATTGCATAACCGCTTCAGAATCGACATGGGGAGAATGTTCAAATTGCAATATTGGTTGTAAATGTCGGGAACAATATGTATACGATGTTGTTGTATCGACATTCGTAAAACAATATTATATAACATTCATAGATATGTTTTTCGACACATTGTTAACGAATTTTACAACCAATATTGCTCCAATATTGTAGCTGACAATCCATATTCAGCTCAGGTTGAACCAATATTCCACCAATATTATCATTTCAATATTGTTTGTCCAATATACTCTCATATTGGACCTATATTTTTTTTCACATGTACGATATATCTATATCGGCCCAATATGAAATCGGGTTCCAGCCAATATGATGTGCTACCTGGGCATAGTAACAACTTGAGGCGGTTTTTGATGATGTTTCAAGGAGGTTCAAGATTTATGGGAGAATATTATTCATATACAGAATGAGTCACTAGTGTGTTCTCCTCCGATATTAGCCAAACCGTCAGATATATAAAATGAAACTTCAAGTACAACAGTAATAGGGTTTCATAAGAACAATCACCTAAAGTTG